CCTAGCCTGCACCAGGGGAAGCATTTAATAGATGTTAACTCAATTTTCTTTTAAAACCTAAGTTACACATGAAAAGAACAAACCATGACTAGGGAACTCTATACCTTATTGACCAGCTAGAAACAGCACTTTACCAGACCAAATGACATAAAAACCTAAAAGCAAAGGTGGTAAACAATGGCAAACCATTAAGTTAGGAAAAGTTTCAAGAATTATAGTAACAAAAGAATATCATGGCAATAAAATGAATAAAACTTAAAATTTACAAAGACATCAATTGCTAGGGCGTTGGCATATTAAAATGATATAAAAGAACCTCAAAGGTATAAGTAAACAAACTAGATAATGCCCCTATATTTTGACTTTCAGGAATTGTGATAAGCTCACTAACTGGAAGTATTATTTAATTCAGATCATATTACAAAAGAAGTTAAAAGAACAGAAATATCATACATATTGCACCAAAATGCAGTGGATCAAGCAAGTAAATTGCGAAAATTTAGTCTTTCAAACACTGAAATTTACAAGGAAAAAATGAATCTTGAATAACTTATTGCAAGAACCAACAAAAAGTACTATTGAATATCTTACTTTAAAAACCAACAAAAGTGAATCTTGCAATTCTGAATGAAATTTACAAAGGAAAAAAAAAAAAAAACATAAATCTTTTGTATCTTACTTCAAGAAGACCCCTTTCAAATAAGCTTAATAGAGATACCAGCTCGATCTATTGAGCTTCCAATATGTCAACCAAAAGCAACATAAAACAAAATCACCAGAAATATGAAACGCCATGGTCAAACCATCAGCATAAGAAAAAAGTTTAACTTCTTCACCCCCACATTCCTCAACAGCCAAAGCAAACCTTAGCTTAATTCACTAAAGCCAAACAATCAGCTTGAACAACAAAAACCCAACTTCAGAATTTATTTCTTTCTCAAAATTCACTTGACATTCAATCACTAAATTAACCAACAAAGTCTAAAGCTAAAAAACCTTCATTTTCCACATAAACCCACACTCATTCACAAAAGCAACTAAAAGAGCAACTCCAAAACACCACAGATCTCCCTTATACCCATCTAGAACCAAAAAAAAAACCATACTTTCTTTACTTCAAGATCGAAAAAACAAGAAAAGAAATGGATGAAAATGCAGCAAAGACAACAAAGAAGCAGAAAGGACAAAAACAAGGCATACCCAAATCTTTTAAGCGAAGATTTCTGAGTTTTTTTTTTCTTCAGATCTAAAGCTTTGGTACCTGCAGAGAATGCGTTTGTGAGAGTAAGAGAAGCATAGTTCAGAGAACAGAAATTGCAATGCAGATTATGGGACCCTCTACTTATCTAATTGTCCTGACAAATTCTTCTAATTGATAAGTACCCGTGTTTTCCGGGTTTATTTACGAAGATGACACTGTCAGTGCCTAACCTTCTGAATTTAACCAGAGCAACAAAATGAACGAGATCATAAATTTTGAGTAGCTTCAATTGAACCCTATTGATAATTTATATATTTATATCATATAAAATATAAAAAATTTATATTTTTATATTTTATAATTCATGAATATATAAAAATATAAATTTTTGTTACACTTATTTATTATTTTTGTTAAAATTTTAAATCATAAATTTTTATATTTTTATTTATATTATTTTTATATCTTATTATTATATTATATTTGAAATTATCTATTATAATTTCAAATAAATCATTTGCATGGATAAAAAAATGAAAATGGCATATGTGTAGTTAACGTGAAGAAAGAGGGCAAATAGATGACGTTGATGACAAAACATTAAAGAAATGGTGTAACTAAGGGAGAAACAAAAGGCAAAGGTGATGGATGGGTCATTGTTAGGTGGTGGCATCACGAATCAAACAGGTCCCATCTTACAAAAATCTTGAAGCTCTCATTAGTAGCTGCGCAAGTTAGTTTTTAAACATTGCTGTCATAATTAAAACTGCATTGCAGGCCTCTTTTTGTGTTTCCCTGTTGAAGATTATTATTACTTCGTTTTTGGTAGTTGGATTTGTTTTTCAATTTTTATATTATATTTATCTTTATATTTGTATTTAATAAATATTTTAAATTTATTTTTATTTTTATTTTCGTAAATATTTAATGGACATGATATTTTTTATGCCCATAACTTAAAAAAAAAAAACTAAAAGCTAATTTTTTATTTTTTATTTTTATCTTACATATTTAGATACTTTTTTTATAAATATAGATTAATATATATTTTTCAATAAAATATATTAATTTTAATTAATTTAAAATAATAATTTATATTATCTAATAAAAAATTTATATACTAAATATATATAAATATATATATAGTTCGAGTACAGTATGAGTGCTATATTATTTATCTTCATCTTCGTTCTCAAATAAAAATTTAAAATCATATCAATCATCATTCTTATAATCATAATGCAATATCCATACACATTCATATTTAAATAAAAAATCATATTTTTCATTGGATATGAGTAAAATTAATATCCTACTCCATTCTTATATATGCTTTGGTATAATAATTTACATACTTTCTTTATCTCATTTTTTTATCTTTTTTTAAAATGTTCTAAAATTATGTCTTTTTTTTTTAAATATCTAAAATTCCTTTTTTATATTTTAAAATTATTTTTTATGATATTTTTATTTTTTAACATTAAAAATTATGAAACTTTAATTTTATAAAAAAATTTAAATTTAAATTTTAAATACATTAAAATTAATTTTTTTAAATTTCATAAAAATTAATATATAATAAATATTTTGAGACAAAAAAGTATAAAATTTTTATTCATAATTTAATTTATGTGTCATGTGAATGTTGTCATGTTCATCTTGCTTGTAAACTAGACTAGGTGTCTTTCTTTGGCCATTTATTTAATGGGCTATTATAGCTTAAAACACTTTTATTATGACTAACATTTGCATTTTCATTTTACTTTTATTTTATTTTTTCATGCATGAAAAAATTTTAATATTTACATGAAAAAATAAATTAAAAAAATGAAATGAAAGTAAGAAATAATAGAGTGTTCATGGATTGGAATCAAACTGAGATCATATGTGGTATTAATTATTTATATATTTATCTAGGCTTGATTCAACCTAAAATTTTGAGTCTCAAAATTTTTTCAAATTCAACCTAAATTAAAAAAACAAGTCTCAAGTTCATCCATTAAATTTAATTTATATAATAAAAATAAAAAATATGATTAAATAAATTAATGAGATTATATTTAATTACATATATATAATTTAAACATAAAAATTATATATGTAAAAATTAAAAATTAAAATTAAGTTTAATAAAAGACATATAATTTTTTTATTTTATTTTTAATTTTTATATGTATGTTAATTAATTTATATATAATTTACATATATATCAAAATAACAAATTTATATATATGAATTTTAGTAGAACTTGTATCGAGTTCAAGCTTTAAATATTTTGTCAAATGTTCAATATGAAATTTAAATAAATTTAAAAATTATGTTCAAATTTATTTAATAAATTTTATTTTTTATCAAAATTATTTTAAATTTTAAACGAACTTTTGAGTTTAGACGGATAGTCAAATCCCTTTAATTGGCTTAAAAAATAGTTATAATTTTAATGAAATTTATAATGAAAAAATGGCACTTTAGAGATTTAATACTAATTAATTAGTTGGTGGAGAATTAAAAATCCCGTTTAATAACAAGGTAATGTAAATGAAGTTTGACTAGATATTTGAATATATCATCGAATGATTTACTCAACATGTGGGATAGATTATTCACTTTTTCACCAGTAATCATTTATGTCTCAAAAATCTATGAAAAGAATAAAGCAAAAAAAAAAAAAAAATCTATGAAAAGGGAGGCCAGTGAGTGTTGCTGGGTCTGCTCAGTTTGGCTGCATTGAACCAGCCAAACCGCTTCACATGATTTTTGTCCTTTGTTTGTGAGTTTTTTAAAACAGTCATTTCGCTGGAAATTATTAAGGAAAGAAAAGAAAGAGAAAGCAGGGATGAATAAAGTGAACTCGAAGTGAAAGTTAATTTAGTTTATTTATGATTATGAATAAATTTATTTAAAATTTGATTGTTTATTATTTATTTGTTGTTTATTTATAATAATAATAACAAATTTATATTTTTTATTTTATTTTAAAATTTATTTATATTTATTTAATTTCGTTTATATTAATTTAAAATTTATTTATTTAAATTTATTTTATTATAATATATTTATTATTATAAATATATTTATTTTTATATATTCGTTAACATATTATTTAATATTTATAAATAAATTTATTTAATTTAATTAATTAAACATAAATTTAATAAAAATATTTTATCATTTTGAATAATAAAATATTTTTTTATTAAATACAAATAAATTACTTAAATATATTTTTTTGTTTATATTCAATTGATTTACAACCTTAAAAATATATATTTAAAAAAAATTATATTTAAAGCATTATCAATTATCAAATATATATGTATACACATTATTAGTGAATATTTTAAATTTTTAATTTTAAATATATTTTAAGATCAAATATATATTTTTAAAATTTTTAAAATTATTTTTGTGATCTGTTATTATATTATTCATTAAGAATATATTTATTAGCATCATTATATTATAATTAATCAATTACCATTAAAAATTATTTGAGCTTATTAAAATTTTATATAAAATATTGATGCATCACGTTATAATTCTTTATTATAATGGATAATCATGAAATTGTTGATAAAATGTACTTGCGGACGGTGTTCTGTTTCCTCGGTTCCTCCTCGAAAAAAGCAACAAAATTTGAATAAAATTTAAAATTAGAAATGGAAAATTTTCGAAGAATTTGAGTTGGTGTTGGAAGCAAAACAATTCAAAAGAGGTGGATTACACGTGGCAACTAGCTTCAACAAATTTTCTTAAGGAATCCACGTGGCAGATTATGGGAGTTCCAAGTCATTGTGTCCCGGAAACAAGAGTTTTAATTTTCTTTCGTCTTCACTTTTGTTTGTTTCCTATGAATCGGAGGAAGCAGACGAAGAGACAGAATCTCAAACATAAGACTGTTTCACTTCTTCAATCTCCTCAATCTGTCATCTAATGTTTTATTTTTTGACAATTTGATCCTTCACCATTTCGGAGAATTGCAATCAAGGACTTATAAAACTCTCAGATTCACAACTGTGCGCTATCATGTGTTCCTTTCCTCGTTTATTGCAATAGATTTGCATGGCTATTTTATCCTTTGTGTCTTTTGTTTTGAAGATTGTCTGATTTTTAAGAACGAAAACTCTATGTCAAATGAACAAAATGATGGGTCCTCAAAAGCCGAAATTCCATCCTTATATTTGGTTTCTTTTCTTATCATCTGCTTGAAATTTCTTTGTTTTGATACGAAGAAATGTTTGATTGGTGCAGGGTGTGTTTATGTTGTTTCATAGATTAGTGGTACAATAGTAAGAGCAATGCAAAAAGATCAAGGTTCCAGTGCACCATCTACACCGACTAATGGTCGAGTTCGGCATCGGAGACGTTCCAATGAGGTCTGTATTATTCAATGAATATATGCGTCTTCTCATGTTCTGTCTGTCTGTCTGTGTTGCTTGGGCCAGTTCATGTATGAAACAGATAATTCTCTGTAATATCTAAACTTGGTTAGCATTTGAACATCTCCGGCATGTTTGGATTAGATCCCTTCTCTTTTTCTTTTCTCCTCAAGTTGTGAAACTGTGATTGTGTTCTTTGATGTCAGTTTCCTGTTGAGATGAGCAGAACAAATGGAAACCATTTACTTGCCAATGATCACAACAAATATAGATCAATGTGGATTCGTGCATGTTCATCTCTGTGGATGTTGGGAGGCTTCCTCTTGATTCTCTATTTAGGGCATCTTTATATTTGGGCCATGGTTGTTATTATCCAAATATTCATGGCAAGAGAGCTCTTCAATCTACTCAGAAAAGCTCATGAAGATAAACGCCTGCCTGGGTTCAGGATCTTGAACTGGTATGAGAAATTACGATGCAAGTTTGATATGTGGTAGCAACTTAGAGACTGATATGCTGATGGCATTTTATGTCCTTGCAGGCACTTTTACTTCACGGCTATGCTCTTTGTGTATGGTCGCATTTTCAGTCACGGGCTCGTGAATACAGTAACTTCAGATAAATTTTTCTATAGGCTTGTGAGTAGGCTCATCAAGTATCAGATGGTTATTTGTTATTTCTTATACATAGCAGGTTCGTATCTATTGTGCTTTTAAAAAGAAGCAAGACACACATATTCTTTGTACATAATGTTTTAATTTGATTGCTGTTTCTCAATTATGATGAAGTCGATTAACTTGTCTGGTTGTCTAGAACTTTAAGTTCCATGTTACTTTATTATGTTCCTGAAATTTCAGTCAATTAATAATAGTATTAAGTTGCTTTTATCTTCATTCCCTTGTTATCTGCCTGCTCTGCAGTGAGCTTGTTGAGCTATGAATCTTATATTCTCCACCCAATTGAAAAGGTTTCGATTTGTTCTGGATTCAGGTTTCATGTGGTTCATTCTTACACTAAAGAAGAAGATGTACAAATATCAATTTGGACAGTTTGCATGGACACACATGATTCTCATTGTTGTCTTCACTCAGTCTGCATTTACTGTAGCCAACATTTTTGAAGGCATCTTCTGGTAACATGCTAGCCAAATTAGTCTTTAGCCGCTTGTTTGCTTTTTTACCTCCCATATATAAAATTAAATTGTTTTGATCATTTACTCTATTTTGTCCTATTAATGAAATCTAACAAATCTTGGATTTATGCAGGTTCCTTCTCCCAGCATCACTAATTGCTGTCAATGATGTTGCTGCTTATTTCTTTGGTTTCTTTTTTGGTAAAACTCCTTTGATCAAGCTATCTCCTAAAAAAACATGGGAGGGTTTCATTGGAGCATCAGTTGCAACTATGATCTCAGCATTTGTGGTAAGAATTTTTACACTGTGATTGACTCAGTCTTCAACTTACTTGTTTTTGGATAGAATTGAAATAGTAAAGATTCCTCATTCATTTTTCTTTTGTGCCATCGGTTTTAGTTTGATTCTGCGAGGTGATTAATTTCTGAAATGTTAGAATATTGTCAGCACTCAGTTGAATCTAATCAGGGTGCTTTGATCATCTGAGGGTAACTGGTGTACAAAATCATGAATTGAAAACAAAATTTTGTAAATGTTGGAAAGCCGATTGATCAATGGGAGATGGATTGACTCTTGGAACAACTTTCATACTGTGATATATTGGTGTTATGGATCGATGATCCATCAACATAATTTCTTCACTATCTTTTATGCAGCTTGCAAATGTCTTTGGTCATTTTCAGTGGCTGACATGTCCAAGGAAGGTAACTCATCATGGAATGCATTCATCTTTAAACAAAAAACGCGATGCTATTCTGATAATACTCATATGACTGAAATGCATGCAGGATTTATCAACTGGTTGGCTTCACTGCGATCCCGATCCACTTTTTAAGCCAGAGTATTATCCTTTGCCAGTATGGATTTCTCAAAGGGTGAGTGAGAGATCTAGAAGTATTAATACGAATGGACGAATTAGATTCTATTTAAACTTTGTTAATTAAATATTTCTTATTTCTTAGTTCTTGACAGTAATTTACTTTTATTAATATGTTGCAGTTGTCTTGGAAAGAGATAGCAATTTTGCCAGTTCAGTGGCATGCTTTATGGCTCGGTTTATTTGCATCAATTATTGCTCCATTTGGAGGCTTTTTCGCAAGTGGTTTCAAGAGAGCTTTCAAGATTAAGGTGCACTTTTTGTTTGTTAATGTGCTGTTTAAAATTGTAAAACTGACATTCGTGAACTTCCTCGTACCTCCTCCGACCTCCTTGACCAACCATCTCTCGGGTGACACAGGACTTTGGCGATAGTATACCCGGACACGGTGGATTTACTGACAGAATGGACTGCCAGGCAAGCTGCTAGTTGTATGACTTGATTTCTATAACATAACATCTTGTCTGTGTCTGCCAATTTTTTCATTTTTCTTCTGCATCTATTAACAGCTCAATGTGAGAACTTTTTGTTTGTTTAAATATTGTGTATATCTGTTTCCAGATGGTAATGGCTGTTTTTGCATACATCTATCATCAGTCATTTGTTGTTCCCCAAGACTATACGGTTGAGATGATTATAAACGAGGTAACTGCTTATTCCCATCATATCTGGAAATTTCTTGAAAGATTCCATTCCGAAGAATGATCACGGAACTTCTCGTATGAGAATTAATTATGGCCTTACTTTTCTTCTTGTTCTCTAGATATTAAGTAGCCTTACTTTGGAGGAGCAGCAAATTCTATATACGAAGTTAGGGCAGATATTGCAGGAGAGAATGCTTGGACTATATTGAAGTTTAGTCAAATGCACTTAGTTCCTGGTAAGTGTTTCACAATTTGAAATTTCTCTGAAAGTGAAGGAGAACAATGTAAGATTTTCTTTCTCATATGAGGGTTGGACACGATTACGGTTGGTGGAGGTGTTAACCTTAAGAAAACCAATAATGAAGGATGTTTTAATTCTGCTGACAGTATTTCAGACCTATTAAACTATGTTACTCAGACTCGGAGGTCAGTTTCAGATTCGGCAAAGTGTCTGACATGCGTATGTTCATTTTTTTCTGAGTTTTTCATTGGTACTTCAAGGAAAATGAAGAGTGGATGCAACAACATAGCTATAACAAATGATAATAGCCATTGACGTTTGAATTCAGCAATTGAGTTCTGAACCTCTTTCACAAGCTCCTCAGATGAAAACTGCAGCATAAACCAACCTTAAGAACATAAAATTGCACAAAATAGTAACATATTTTTTAAAAAAAAGAATGTCTATGTTAGCAGTTTGAAGCAATATACATTACCTGCAAATTTTCACTTTTAAAAATATCTCCAACTGCCAGGTTCTGCTTTATCAAGTTTATAATGTTCTCTTTCTGGTTCTCCAGATAGTCATTCACTGCCTTTGGACTTGAAACAGAAGCCAAATTCTGTTCATTTAGCTTTACATTTGCCTGCAATGGTGAAACAATGAACTGTTGCTGGTGTGACCTCACACACACAAACAGATGCTTATTTATAGATACTTGATCATCATAAACAGGTACTTCTTACCTGAATCTCTAGAAGTTTGGCTCCATAAAGCTGCCTACCTTGTTCCTCAAACAAGGATTAGGGAATATTGATTTCCACCATCTGATCGAACATCATAAAGTCAAGTTAGTATTCTAGAAACAGGGAAAGAGAGAGACCTCAATTTGCAGAATGAAATTAAACTTATCTAAATGTTAGCGTCAATAACCTTGCAAAGCTGGTCTAGGATATTGCATTATCTGTTGCTTGGTCTCTCGCAAATTGCATCACTTCTCGGCACTTTTGCAATAATGATTCCTTGACCTGCAGATTCATGCAGCTGAAAAGTTCCATTCAAACCTAAACGTTGGAATTAGAATAATAAAAAAATAGTGAGTGTTCATATTTATGGTAACCTGCTTTAAGTCAGTGCATCCAGGAAGAAGCTTATCAGCAATGGAGCCATTCAACTCAGGTAAATCCCTGTAGAATAGTTCTACACCAACCGCTTCATGAACTCCTTCAGGACCATTTTGGAACAATCCTCACCAACCGCGGGTGGAACTTCTACACTCAACCTTACCCACATAAAATTCAATAGTCTTAGTAAAATTAAAATGAAATAACATGAAGGAACAGCAAATCTTCAAATTATGACAATATCAATGAAACAAACCACCAAAATCTTACTCTTGAATTAGTCTCTTCAGTCTCAGTGACCTTTATATCAGCTGGAAGCTTATCTGTTTCGACTCCGAAAGCCGCTGAAGAAGCTGCTGAAGCCTTAATAAGATATGTGTTTCGAGGAGATGAGAGTGGTGGTTGAAGCAACTGAATTTAGCGGGAAAAAGAAGACGTTCTTTGAGATGATAATTTAAGGTTCATTTTTGGATTTTGCTATTGAATTGGAGAATTGGGTTTTTGAAAGAAAGAGAAACTGTGGTTTTGGGACTGAAACGATTAGATTTTTTATTTAAATTGAGGAGTTTTGTTGAGTTAACACTGAGCTCCATCGTTGCTGCTACGAGGAAGCTTGAAGCTTTGGCTGTTTGAAGACAAAAACTTCAACTTTGTTGTCTGATATTTTCAACGAAGTAAACGGCCCGTTTTCATAAACCTTCAGTAAAATCTTTTGATTACTTCTTTTTTTTTTTTTTTATGTCCTACTTGAAGTTAAATATTCGATTAAAAAAATATTATACAATCTTATCATCAAACTGTCCATTTCGATATTTTGTATATTATTGATATATAAATTATAAATATAATCTCTTTAATATATATTTATTTTAAAAATTAATATATTATTCATTAATAAAGTGATATAAATATAAAATTTTATATTATTATTAATATTGTTATATCTTAAAATACAATTAGTTAAATAGATCAAGATAAATTATTAATTCATTAAAAGATTTATGACTTTTATTTTTTTAAGATTTTTTGAGTTTATAAATTATTTATTAATAAAAAAATTATGAAAATTCAAACTTAAATGTTTTATATTCAAATTTTAAATCTTAATCATTTTGCTAATTCTTATTAATTATTTTATTTATAATTTAATTTTCATTATCAATAATTTTTTTAATACAAAATTTATAAATTCAATTTAAATTTCATGAAAACCTATCATATGTTTTGATATTAAAATAACGTAACTTTCTGTTACCTAATTTTAAAAAAAAAAATTCATAAATTTTAGAAAACCAAACCTGTGGAAGTCATGACTTACAAAGAAGGATAAAGAATTTTTTAAAATTTTATTTCTTTGATTAGTATCTATGAAAATGTAACAAAATAATAAAAAATTAAAATTAAAAAAAAAAAATTCATGTTTATTTAATTGTAATAATTAGAGGAAGCTTATTAAAACCGACTTTGACTTGATTAAAGCTTAATCCCAACGAGAAAAACGATCGAACAAACCGACGCCGTTCCTTACAAGTTCGTTCCTTGTCTTAGCTGTCTGCTTGTCTCTGTGTCTCTTTTTAATTGCAGAACCGAACCCAACATCTCGAACTGTACCAAACGAACTTAACACTTTCACTCAAACTCTCCCCCTTTTCTTCTCTTCGTTCACTGACAGCCGCTAGTAGTAATCTAAAAGCTTCAAATATCGAAATGGAAGGAGTAGGCTCCACGAGGGTGGGCCGGGCTTCGGCCAGGTACGGTTCGACGGCGGTGTTCAATGGCCCGGTGAGGAAGTGGAAGAAGAAGTGGGTCCACGTTTCGCCTTCATCCACTGTTAAACACTCTCAATCCAACGGCAACGGCTCCGCCGCAACCAGCATCCTACTCTGTCGGTGGACCCCACTCTCCTCCGCTGATTCCGGGTCTTCCGCCGTCGACGGCGAGGACGATGAGCAGCCCCCCAAGCGCAAGTTCCGCTATACCCCAGTAAGTGTATAAATATACGTATATTATCATGTATGCGTATACATACACGTATGTATACGTGTATTTAGGTCTTATCTTTCTTTTTTCTGGTGGTTTTAGCTAGGGTTTTGCTCACTATTTTTTTTTCATGATACTCAATTGTTAGCTTTTATTCCCAACTTGTCATGGTTTCATGGAATCAATGGAATTTGAAATTTCAGTATATTTTATGCTTCATAAAGAATGGGTTTTTTTTTTCCTTCAATTATTGCATTATCTTGTTGATTTTGCTTGAATATTTGGTGTTTTGTCTGTTTGGGTTTTGGCTGCTTATGTTAAAAAAAATAATGGTAATAAAAAAATGTGCGTTGATTGTCATTTTTGCAGGTTGCTGTGTTGGAGGAAGAGCGTAAAAGGGCAGCAGCAAAACAGGTTGAAGATGAAGCTAAGACAGATGTGAATGATACCAACCAGTCCCCACATTGGCTATCACCCAAGGCTGATAACAAGCTGAACATGAATAAAGATTTGAAGAAAGAAACTCAGGTAACAACTTTAATTTTGTTTTAATTATCTTAATTGAATTTGAAAGGTGAAAATAATTGCAATTGGATCTCTTGAAAGGGGACTAAAAATTGAAAAGGATAGGTGGAAATTTGTGTCTGGAAAATTTGTGTGTGATCAGGGTGTTCATAATTCGGTTTTAACCGAATTAACTGACCAAATCGATTTAATTCGGTTAATCGGTCAGCGGTCGATTAACGAAAATGATTTTAAAAAAAGTTTGATTTTAGGTTAATTCAGTTCGAAAATCGAATTAACCAAAATTTTAATGAAATATAATATAATCCATATATAAAATAAAAAATCCATGAAATTGATCATTTTGTTTCGTAAGTTGTTAGAGTTTTAATATAATGCTTTATATTGAATATTTTGTTAGATAATTTTATTTTGTTTGTTTAAATATGAGAAATTAAGAGTTTAAAATATAATTTAATTTAAATATATTTATTATTCGGTTAACGAAAAAAAATTAATCGAACCAACCGAATTAAATTCGGCTAGTTAATTTTCGAAAGTAAAAAATTCGGTTTGGTTTCTCGGTTTTGGATAATTTGGTTCGAAATTAATTGAACCGACCGAACGAACACTCCTACTGTGTGAGAAGTAGTTGATGAACATCAGGAGAAGATAGAAGATAGTCTTGACTTTTGGAAGAACATTTGTTAAAATGTTTGGAACTTGTGTGTCTCATGCCTTCCATGTCAGATGGTTGGCATGTTTGAAGGAAAAAGTTGGGCTTTGGTTCTTGGAAGATGTTTACTTGTGTGCCAGCTAGTAGTGTTCAATACAGGCAAATGAGGTAGAAATTCTAAATGCCAAACATGAAATGGTTAAGATGTAGCAGGAAACAAGCCTTTTTCAAGTAGTAATGCCATTGTAATGGTAGCATCATTCAGTTTTTAGGGTATTGTTGGTCCATCCTATATACAGCTGACTCACAACCTTAAAGTGCATTAATCTGTTCCTGTTTTGGATTGTACCGATGCATTTAACGGGTGGGAACTGAACAGTTTTATGATGGTTTAGGGATTAATTTGACATCCCTAGGATTAAATCTCTTCACTTGCATTGTTCTCAAAACATATGGGCAACATCTTGCTCAAATTCCTTCTGTGTTGTAGGATTCAAGCATGAGTAATTTGGACTTGGGTTTGTGTTTGAAAGGCCATGATGGCAACCGCGATTCTGTTGGTGAGAAGGAAGGTCATGAGAAGGCAGCAAGGTCAGCAGGATTTTGGACAATGGCTTAACATTTAATTAGTTCAAGGGAAAGAGTTCATGTGCCAACAAGAATCCATAGTAATGCATCATATGTAGAATATAGCAGTTATATATGCTTGGTCATATAATTAGTTTGTGATGTATATTAGCCAGCCTTAGCGGTCGTTTGCACCTTATCAAAGCTTCAACTTATACTGCAGATCCATTTCCTATGTCAGTGAAGCTATTATACATAGAATAGAACCCTTAGATTGATATATGTCTCCTTTGTTGCTCTGTTTGCATAGCATTATATGAAATATTTGGGTTGAATAGGATCAAAACTTCTTACTTGTCCGCTTTCAGTTGCTGTCAACGTCCATATCATGGTAGAAAAGTTGATTTTAAAGTTGCAACGGGAGATTGATTTGCTTCCTCTTGGGGGTACACATGTTACCAACCATCCTCAAATAGCCTCATAAAAGGCAACCCGATGCATAAAGCTCCTGCTATATGCGGGGTTTGGGGAAGGGTCGGACCACTGCGTTTAGTGTAGACAGCCTTGCCTTGCATTTTCACAAGAGGCTGTTTCCGTGACCCGAATCCGTTACCTTCGAGTCAAATGGCAGCAATCAAGGCTCCCCTTTTATGAGAAGTAATAAGACACGAAATTGAAGGCCAAAAATATAGATAGAGAAAATTTTTTAACATGAAACCTCATATGTATATAATTCTTATGACACAGGCAAAGTTTTTGAAAATTTGCCACAGCAACTCTACCTAGTCCATCAAGCATCGGAGCCTTTGTCACTTGTGTTATTCTCAGCTGCATCGTTATCCAGTGCTTGAGTAACACCAACCTCAGCTGCACGAATAACTCGATCATAGAGCATGTATCCAGACTGTAACAGGGAAAGAAACAAACATTTTGTTAGTAACTTAATAAACTATGACAACTGAAGCTATTCAAACAGCATTTTGTAAAGACAAGGAAAGTCAGTGGTTGATTACCAATCATATTTCTTCAACCAAACTTTTGAACTAACCATAATAGATGATAGACAAATGGAACTGTTACAACAAATACGGATTAGAAAATAATACCTTCAAAACATGAGCAACTGTGCCAGGAGGCTTAGAATTCTCTGGTACTTGGAAAACTGCGTTGTGCCTATGTGGATCAAACGGTTCATTTGTGGGATCGAATTTTTGCACTCCAAACTTTCCAAATACCTGAAAGCAAGAACATTTATAACTGGTTAGTAACAAATTTAATAAATTATAGAACACATGTAGAGGCCAAATCATTGTCAGAGTGACAGGAACATTAACAACTCAGCCTCATGAGAGCTCCCACTACCATAGGAAGCTGTGAAACTAACTTATGACAAAAAGTTTACCTGTCCAAGCTGTTTCTCAGTCATTTCAACTCCTTCTAGGAGTGTCTTTAGGAGTGGCACAGCTCCAACAGTGTCTTTGGATTCGTCGATCTTAGAGAAACTTCCTTTAACATGTGTAGAAGCCCTTCCTAAATTGTCTGCAACATCTAGTAAGCCCTTAGCAAAATTCTGCACCACATTGACAAATAATTACCATCATTTTCTGTGAATTCCAAATACAACAGAAATCAAGTGGTCATTGTATCACCAACAATACCTGTATGGCAAATTTTTTCGAGTTCTCAGCTTCACGTCTTGTTCTGGCCATAACATTCTCCATTTCTGCAAGAGTGCGCACCACTTTGTCCTGCATTTGTTCAATCTCCTTCTCCTTTGCCTTAAAGAGTCCTTCTTTCTCCTCCACAAGTTTGACCATATCAGCCATTGATAGGTCACCATCACTATCAGAATCTGAATCAGAAAATGCAGTTTGTTTAGTGGCTGTTTTCCTTCTCTTATCAGATTGAGGCATTGTATTTTGGGATTCTGAGTTAAAGCCTGACTCTTTTGCTTGATCGGTAACTTCAGCCTCTCCAAGATTCGTATCACCACTTGGTTTTGTAGGCTCTTGACCATTATTTTCTACAGCACTCCCATGTTCCTTTTCTGAAGGCTCAGGGGAGGAAAACAAAGAGACCCCAAATCGTTGAAATGCAGAGAAATTGATGTTTGAACGATGCAGCAGAGACACATCACTTATCACCAACTGCACAGAGAAAGAGCATGCAACATATAGTATTGGACCGAACCTCGAAGAAAATGCAGTAAAATGAAAACTTTTATAGATATCCATGGACTAGGTTACAGTTTGAAGAAACGAAAATATGGGTTTAAGATCCTAGAGGATCACTCAATTACTTGAAAAAGATAGAACCTTAAAACCAAACGAGACCCTGATCAAATGAATATGAAAATTGAGGTTACAGCTCATAAATCATTAATGTAATAACTTCATTAAGGCAATTAGTAAATTGTTCTCCTTTGTTTATGTTTGATTCATTGCAATAACAAAAATTGCATCTTTCACTTCCAAGTGCTAAACTTTTACACAATCAATGCATATAATTTACAACAAAAAGCAGCAAAATCAATCAAAAAGACCAAAAAGAAAAGCTGAAACCAATCTAAAGACCCTAAAGGAAGATACTTTCATAAAAATTTAAAACCTTTAACTTTCAATTTTCCAATATGATAAAAGAAGAATACACAATAAAAAAACAATGCCCAGATGAAAAAATCATCAAGGTTTAGCTAATTTAAACGAAGCCCTTAAACCCTAGCAATACCACTTCTCACAATTAACCCAAAAAAATCAAGGGTTTTATTCATTTCATTTGTTATAACATTTTAGTACCTTATTCTGAGATTCACGCACGAGAGAGTGAAACTGAGTGGAAAAGCCCGGCGGTTGAAGCTCCTTTGAGGCAGAGAGAAGCAAGGAGCGTGCACCTACGCTCTTGGAAACGCGTGACAAAGCCCTGGACATCAACATCTCTGAATAAGAACAAGGAAGGAAGAAGGTTTAGGGTTTTAGAGGGTCAGAATTGTAAATAAAAAATTTTAAGGAGAAATTTAGAGGAGAGAAAGAAGGAATTCTTAATACATGACAAAAATTCTCTTTAAGCCTCAAAATTTTTCTTTAAAAAAATCCATATATAAAATATTAATTTTATTCTTTAATAAGTAATAATTATACTATTTTTACACTCTAATTTTAAAGTTTTCAAAAATTTATTTTCAAAAAATCTTTAAAAGTTTCAAAAATTAAATTTCAAAAATTTAAAATTTTGAAAGTCTTTAAAACTCTCATAAATTAATTTATGAGAGCTTTAAAGTTTTTTCAAAAATTCATTACTAAGAACTTTAAAGGTTTTTTGGGGAATTTATTTTCAAAAAACTTAAATTCGACAAAATATTATTATAAACTCTAAATAATTTTTACATCAATTTAAATCAAATTAATCAACAAACATGTAAAAATTTTATTTGCAATTAATGAAATACTCAAATAACTTATAATTTAGAGGTTGGTTAGATAGTTTTAGGGTTAAGTTTAGATTAAATTTGGATTGAGAGTAAGAGAATGAAGAAAATAGTTAAAAAGGTATAAAAGAAAATGTGATTTTGTTATATGAGGGTGTATTTGAAAGAAATAAAAACTTTTATTTTAGAAGTGGGATATATTTAGTAATGAAGTGTAAAGAGAAATTTTGTACGTCTAATTTTTTGATAAAAAAAGTTGATTTTATTTTTTTATTGACTAAACTATCCTTTAAGAAGCATATCGGTGAATTTGAACATATTTTGAGGGTCTTATTGTTTTGTTAATGTTTAATGTTCGGTGTTTGATTAAACCCGATAATTTATATATTCGTATTATATAAAATATTAAAATTTTATATATTTATATTATATTTTATATAAAATTTATCATAATTCGTATCAATATAAAAATATAATTTTTTTTTATTTTGTTAAAAATAATTATAATTTTGTTAAAATTTTAAATCATATTATTTTTTTATTTTTATATATATTATTTTTGTGTCATGTTATTATATCATATTTGAAATTATTAAATCTATGTTTGATATTAAAAACATCGAAAAGGATTTTTTTTTTTTCACAGATAATTAAACATGTGGTCGGGACGTGTAGTCAAAACGACAGTGTATAACTAAAGTTATATAAATGGGCTTGGACATCTTTCTTGAAATATTAGTTTGGGGCTGAGTCTAAGCCCATGAATATGAAAAAAATATCTTCCTCTTTTGCAGTTAAACGGCCGATTTTAATCTTATTTTCAATTTTAATATAAGATACAAGAATATTAATTAATGAAGGCATTAAAATAAGACAATTATGCTAAAGCACGAATGAACAGTCAATACCGTACAAACAAGCCTTTTCAAGCGCCCTTTTCGGGCCTCCAGCTGTATTTGTGCGAGCGCGCGTGTGCTTTTGAACTTATGCGTGCAACAATGCGAGTGCTCATGCAAAGAGGCATGTCTAATAGATGATTTGTTGCCAGAAGTGCAGACAGTATCATTCAGAATTGGTTTTTACATTTTTGGAATAAAGATATAAATAATACATGAGTATTCATAAATTGGATTTGATTCAAATAAAAATTAAATTTAATTTAATTATTTTTTAATTGAGTTTAAACTTAAATAATTTAATTTATTAATCAAATTAAATTTAAATATTGTTATAATCGATTCAAATAACTCACGAATTTAATCAAAATTATATATTTTAATATATTTTAATTAATAAAATATCTCAAACTCGAATCTAAACACAAATAATTGAATTTTTATCAAATATAAAAATTAAACTTATTTTTATATGTTAATCGAGTCTACTCAAATGAATTTGAATAGCTCGATTTTTATCTCGAGTCAAATTCAAATTAAAAAAATAAAATTCAATTGAATTCGAGTCGAGTTTCAAACTTCGAATTTCGAGTTAAACTTGAACTCAAGTTTAACACTATATCAACTTAAACTCGATTAATTACACTTCTAATTTGGACTATAATAATGGACACTAGATACACAAAGAAACAATATTAACCAATAAAATTGTTCTTCATTGCGAAATAAGGTCCTTCAAATGCATAAATTTGAATAACAAGTTTAGTCCAAACTATCACATATGGTGGCTGATACATAAAGACCCATCAATTGATTTAACACAACAAAAAGCAGCTAGAGATCTTCGAGATACAAGCTGAGGAAGACAATCTGTGGAGCCTAATCTCGAATCCTACGACTTACTTTGGCTCTTTGGGAAAATGCAGTTTGATAAGTGCAGGAAGCTCGGCCAGCTCAACTCGAGGCTTGCCCAGTAAAACACTCCTCAACTTTTCATCACAATTTACGACATTCTTGTTGTTCAGATCCTAATCAAGAAAAACTGGCATCCTGAGAGACTTTCAAGTAAATGTGTAGAGAAGCTAGAGCACCAAGAGTACATACTTCAAAAGCAATCTATGAATATACAGTTGCAAGAAAACAGAATGATCCATATGAACCTTTTCTAAAATAAAAGATAAGGTAAGAAACTACAGCCTTTTGGAGCTCGGTGCTCAATTACCAGCCACAATAAACAATTAAATCTACATAAGAAAGTCTTAATAACAAATTAAATCAATAAATAATCTTTAGAGCGAGTCATGGTGGTAACGGGAATGCCCACAACTTCCTTCTTCATTAGCATCAAATTTTCTTCCTATCAAACAATGATCTAGCACATGGTTAACATTTCCTAGTGTCATAACGCAGACAGGTGAGATCATTGTCATCATGAACAACCATCTCCACAAATGCCAGTATAACATAATCATCACTGAGAAAAAACCCACATATTTATTAAAAAAAATGCTATTTGCCTCAGCACTTTTTGCACCAACTATTTGCCCCTAATAACCCAAGCACAAACACAGACAGAGAAAGATAGTGGGGCTGACTTGCTAAACTGACTAAACCCGGTCAAATGCATTCATTTTTGTTTTGTCTGTCTATCCGCGGGAATACGACCTCTTGTTCTGATCTATCTGATGGATGACTCCGGAACAATTAGAAGAAAGACTGCGAAATAGGGCTTTTTCTATGCGTTGAAGTATCTCGCTGCAAATGAATCCCATTTTTCGGTAGGATTCAACCCCTTACCCAGCGAATTCAGACCCTTTCCTTTCTATCGACGAAGCCAGCCAACCATAGAATCTGATTTTCATTCTCTTTTTCTTTGACAAAGACTAAACATCACAATAATTTATCAGTCCAACTCTAACATTCTACTGTGAACTTGATGAATCAGTAAACCATGAAACTTATTCAATAACCTACATGCCACGTAAGAGAGTGCAAATAATTGCCAAAAAAAAAAGCATTGGGGGTAAGTAAAGCATCTCAGTAATTCATTACAAACATACGATTAAGAAAAAAGAATCAACTATTTAATAGCAGGGTGCAAAACTAAATTGGAGAGCTAAGAATACCTGAAGATTGTTCTCTTTGATATAAGACCAAACACGCATGAAGCAACCCAAACGTGAAATCTGAGACTGACCCACAAACTCTCTAACTGTGGAAGGAAGATTTACAAGGTCAATCAAGTTAGCAAGCTTCTTGGGGTTATCTGTAATTGTCTTCTTTAGTCTCTGTGGCAGCATCTTTCTACCTTCTTCTCTTCTTCCTCTCTATAAACCCAAGAACCATATATCAAATACTTAGAAAAAAAAACATTTATTTTCCAACACCCAATAACGTTTAAGAATTATACAGTCAGTTACTAAATTAACAACAAAAACACAAACTTCAGAGCAATTTTATCTAACATATAGCGCATTTTTGTAATCAAGCTCAAAACCTTCTGATTTCGTTGTCATTTTCATATGAAAATATCAAAACTTATTTTTCAGCACCCAATAACGAACGTTTAAGAATTATATACTCAGCTACTAAAGAAACAAAAAAAACACAAACTTCAGAGGAATTTTATCGAACAGTTGGCGGCTTTTTGTTATCAAGTTCAAATCTTTCCGATTTCGGTGGCCATTTTCAATTGCTAAAGTAACAGAGTTGAATTAGAAGAGAGCTCGTTTACCTCGAGAGAGATGGGATGGCTGGAAAGTTGAGGGGCAAATGGTAAATAGTAGCAGTTCTGAATACCAAACTTGTTTCTTTAGCAGTCGATAGAGGGAAAGAAAGGAAGAGAAATTTTGACAAAAGGTATAGTAATAACAGGTGAGCGATTTTATGGGCTTAACCAAAACAGCAAGTGTAACAGGGGTGCAATTGAATAAAATAAATTAATAATATCTTTATAAGCAAATCCAATTTTAGATTTTAGAGGTCAAAAGAATCATTAATTAGTCAAAGAAATAACTATTGTGACAAAAAAATTAATAAAGAAATAAATTTTCTTGGCATTTTTTATCATAAATTTCATAATCATTTGATTATGCCATTATGTAATTCATAATAGCTTTTTTTTAAAAGGTAATTCATGGTAGCTTTTTGCATAGTAATTAATTTAAAATTTTGCTTAAAGCATAATTAAATCGATCATCATTGAATTTGATTAATAATGCGTTTGGATTGAAGAGAGAGAAAAAAAAAAGAAAGTACAGTAAAGAAATATAAAAAAAACAAAATATATCTTTTTTGTTTGAATAAATTTTTAATTAAAAAAAAAGAAAGAGATAGAAATCAAATAACTTTTGATTTTTTTTATAAATCTAATTTTTTTAATACCTCAATTTAGAGAAAAAACTAGAAAAAGAAAAGTTGAAAAATATTTTTTTATAAAAAAATTATTATGTTCATCTTTTTATTAATACTAAAAACTTAATAAAATAACTTAAGCAGATCACAATCATCCTGTAATTTTATCAAAGCCATTTTTTTTTTCGAATAAGTTTTACATATCTCTTCCAATATAAAAATTTTTTATAATTTTTTGATGATTTAATTTTGATGAATGGTTGAATATAAATAGATATATTTTTTGGGTTTATATGATGATGGATTAACTCAAAATCCATCAATACATGTTTGTAAAATATCTTCATGTTTCACTTGATTAAAAATCATTAATATAACAACAATTGTGAGGTCAAACAAGATAGCAAACATATCATGATTCAAGAGTATTCTAAAATCACAAATAATGAAAAGATTATAATTGAAAAAAATTATTATAATGAATCATTTCTTTTTTTTTCATTCTTTATTCGAATAATGTTGTTAAAATTTTTTTACTTTATTAATTTTAATTATCCAAATAAAAGTTACATATATTATTTATTTTCTTTTTAAAAACTTTTTTTTCATTATTTTATTTTTTTTATTTATTAATATTTATCCAAACATAACGTAAAACTTTACTTTTAAACAAAAATAATACTAAGATAAAAAGTTTTTAACCTCGTCTTATAATTTTTTTTTCTTTTTATGTACGAAAAAAAATTCATTCATTAATGAAAATTTTGATCTTATTACAATCTTATTATTCATAATTGTCAAATTAATTGTAATTTTACATTTGGCATAATGAGATGTAATTTTTTTTTATAGAGTTTGGATAAGAGTATCAAGTTGACAATAACTATAACATGTAATGTCAATTTCTTGATCGATTATGTACTAAAATCGATCTCTAGATATAAATATTCGCACCACCTTTATATTTGTAAATACATTTTATGAGATAAAATTATAAAATTCAATAAATCGAAACAAAAAATACCTCACACATTGTTATGCACCATGACATTATGCCTGTATTTCATCAGAGAAAAGGACTTCATTCAAAATGAAAGTCATGATGATCACGGCGGAAGCAAAGGCAACAACATCAATGGTTGCAAGAATGCTGGTGGGTTTGATGGAAAGAAAGCCTATGATCAGAAGATGCAGAAGGTAATAACCCACAAAATATATGACCCATTTTAAGTCGTAAATATATCAGTTTAATTTTAATGATGGCATCATCTAATAAACAGAAATGAACTTCCCGGTAAACATGATGGAACCGCTCTGAGCCATTACAGATGATCTACAACAAATTAGACACAAGTTAATAGCGCGCTCTTCAATCCAATTTTCTATGCACTAAGCAATTTGTACCTAATCATAAGGATTCCTGAATGTCTTCAACAGTTCTGGGATGTCATAACCCAACATGTCATCAACAGCTTGAATCATTTTAGGCTTTAGCTTCTCGAATTTGTCAAAGTTGTAACCACTTAAAACCTCCCTAAAATGTTCCACATTTGGAAAATCCCCTGGAGGTAGGTGATGATCTCTTTGAACCTGTATAACAAATTGATATTTTTATTTATTTTTGCATTATAAAAGAACTAGTGTTCGTTATACTAGCATTGCAGACACAGATGCATGCATGCACGCACACACACACACCAAGAAAAGAGAGAGGGAGAGAATACTTTTCCGAATTCATCTGCTAAATTATCAATTAGTCTCTGTTGGGCCTTCGCTTTCCCCATCATAGCAGGCATTTCCTTCTTAAGATGACCAATGATATGGGCATGCATCTTGGCGGCTCTAGCACGTTTCACAAACTCATTTATCTGCAGATAAATAATATATTAAGACTCCTCTCCAACACACATCTTCCAAAAATGGAAAGGTTTTATATGTCTTTAGTACATTAATACACAATCCTCTAAAAAAATGCATGCTAAGCTGCAAAGACCCTTCCACTTCTCACATAAAAGAATTCTTTTGTTTTCCAAGGAAGAATAGTAAAATGAACTTACTCGACGATCACAAGCCTTCTTTGGAATATCTTTCAAGTCAGCAAGAAGGTCTTCTTGTTCTTTCTCGAACAGCTCTTTCCCAGTTGGACCTGTGGCAGCTTCATTTACTGGCTTGTCATTGAATGAACTGCCAAAGACGAGATATTAACTTCAAAAAGTAAGAACGAAATGCATCTTAGTTTGATATGAAATGGGGAATATATACAAAATAGCTAGAACCACCAGTTTCGCAAGTTCAGGTATAGAATTACAATTTATGTGGCAGGTTTTAAGCAAATGCAAATAATATGCAGCAAGAAACATCAGGGCACATCCATTTACTTATTTAAGATTGACAGAGAGAAAAAGGTTACCCAATATATACACGCACAACCTCAGGGGTATTAAGGACTTTCCCCAATGACCACATCAAGGCTCCATAAACCCTCATCAGCTACAATAAAAGGAAAATATATGCAAATTAAAATCCTAGCATCACAAGTTACATCAGTTATGAAACATACATAGCTGCCATAATGCTTACTTGTTGAGTATCAACTTGGTCTGCCTTGTTTAACACCACACGAATCTTGTCATCATGACCATGCAGAGAGTAAATTACACGCTTGAATTCATCGCTTACATCTAGCTTGTGAGGATCAAACAGAAGAAGAATAAGATCACATTTAGCAGCAAACCATGACGTTACACCTGTAAAATCATAGGCTCGTTGTGTTCGTTGTTTTTCTCCTGATAACACTCCAGGAGTATCTATAAATGTTATGTGCTCCAACAGCTTGAAGCATGAAAAGAATACATGAGATTCTGTATAAGCACAATGAGAAAATTAATGATCACAGTAGATTATTTAAACAATTAACTCACAGGATGCGGCATTTGAGAACACTCAAACTTTGACAAAAATGCAGTTCCAAAAGTAGTAAGACCATTGAATGGCATGTCTGCTTGGACAGCAATAGTGTTCCCTGGAACACTTCTTTCATCAGCTCCCGACTGCATAAATGGAAAGACAGTATATGACATATGAGATCAAAACATAGTTCATCAAATGATCAATAACAAGCAAAAGAGTATAGACAAAGAAAATTAAGATTTAATTTCCATAATTGATTAAATCCACTAAGTGATGAAACTATTCATACTACATCAATGGTACTATCACAGAACAGAAATCCTGAAGTACCATAACAACAACAAATCTGTCAGTTGTTGGTTCAGGTCCGATGTGAGCTCCTGAAAATGATGATAAAAATAAATAAATGGAAAAGGGGAAAAACAGACCCTTCCAAATAAATGGTTTTTCTGGGAGAAGGAAATAGGAGTAAGAGAGAGGACCGCTTGCCTGGATAACTACTTTTAAGCAAATGTTTAATGAAGGTTGTTTTCCCAGTTGAATACTGACCCAAAAGCATAACCATTGGTTTAGCATCAAAATCACTATTTGTCTGCAGCAAACATAAATCAAAATCAGCTCATTAGCTTTAGAGAAACTGTAAAAATAAAACTCTTTAGCATATATCCAGTGATAATTAAAACCAAATTCAGCTAAATTATATCTACCACTCACTCACCAACAATGGGGATACAAAATCATTAAAACGATATGTAACTTCTAAAGGCTTCAACTTCTGAATGTAAAGTCTCTTTAAGCCATCTATGATTGAAGTCACAGAGGACAAAGATATCTGTGATACACAGGAAAAGAAATCTGTTAACCATGGTAAGGATGCAGATAACTAAAAACGCACTATAAAAAAATCAATTAAAGGGATCAGACACACATTAGTACTTTTAAAGCCACAAAATACCGAAATTAAAATTCACAAGTCTTGTGATAGTAAAATAAAGAGTCAAATGTGCATTTGATATAAATAAAGAAATTATTTATAGCACTACATCTAGGTGACAAAGAAATAAGTAACAGAAAAGTATATCACGAGCAAAAGAAGCTCAATCATACAATGACAACACAAACCTTCAATGATGATTTTGAAGAAAACCATTGAGCTGCAGCTGATGTTTGCATTGGAAAACTACCTGCACTGCCCCCAACTAGTGAATATATGCAAAAAAATCAGAGTAAAATAACCATGAAAGATTACAATGAGAAATTCATACCATTACCATTACTATCAGGGCTACTCGACCTTGAAGAATGTTTCTTCTTCTGAATGAATAGAACAAAATAGTAAGAAATTCATGATGCTAGGCCTATGAAAGATAGACCTTAAGAAACTAAAAGAAGTCATCTTACCATGATTAATGTATCCAAACCTTCCATTACAGGAGGTTTGACATTCTCAAAGTCTACTGCAATATATCAGAATATCTTAACATTAGTTTTCATTTACAATATAAGATTCTACAGTCATGTTTGGCATAAAGGATGAAAGATAGGATAAGATGATAATCATCTTATATTATGTTTGGTTTATATCTAAAGAAAGGGATAGGATTGTAAGGAGGATTAATCATCCTCTTGATATAAGATGATTCAATCCTCCCAAAGTGAAGATTATTTTTAATCCATAGGATTGAACTTACATGTCCTATTATACCCTTAAAAATTACATCAATAATTTAAATTGTATAAACTTTGAGGAAGGATAATTTTGACCAATAAATAAATTATCATATCCTAATCCTTACACACATCAAACACTAGATAGGATTACATTATTTAATCTAGTCCTATTCATAATATCATTTATCATATCCTATCATAATCTTGTGCACCAAACACATCTTAAATGTAGAGGCAAAACGCCCAGAAATAAAAATTCAAATCATGCAATTAAAAGTCATCATACCATAGCCGCCATTCAGGAGATCATGCGATGTTTCACGACCATTTTGTGCCAGAGAAATGAGCTAAACATTAAAAGTAACAGCAGATCAAAAACGAAGAATCAATCAACATATACAATCACAATGCAAAGAAAACTGCAACTGCTAAAACCTGCATGGCAAAGACAAATTCTTTGAAACCAAGATATCCCTGTCTCTTAGAATCCGCTGTTGCCCACACCTTTAAAGAATCAAAACAACAACAAAAAAGACAATCTGTTCAACAAAAAACCTATAAATTAAGCTGAAAGTTAACATTTTCTATATGATTTAGATTCAATGGCACTTAGAAATATTCAAATTTCCTTAAATAAAAACTAAATTAGCACAATTAAAATTGAAGAAAATAAACGAAGATTAAACCTGCTTGAGATCTTGTCGCGATAAATTTGACATAACAAAGAGATTTATTGCATCGTTTCCAGTAATGCGGCCATCATTATCTGCGAAAGAGATTAAAAGAATGAAAATTTTGAAAAAAGTGATTAAAATTTTGAAAAAACAAAATAAAAATGTACCTGAATCGGCGAAATTAAACCAGTCTTGATAAATTTTCTGGTGTTCTTTGGAGAACCGATCCGACCGGTTCCGATCTCCATTGCTGAAGAGAAAAACTATCAAGTTCGTCGATTTCTTTTACTTCGAACGAAGAGAAAATCAAAGGGAAACAGGATAGCAGATACGACGACGTGTGAGCTTCGATGTTAACGGCTTTTTGGAAGTTCAGCAAACGACAGCGTTTTGGGCTTTTAATTGAGGTAAATGTAAAACAATTGAAAAATATGGTTTATTATTATTATTATTATTATTATTATTATTTAGAGAAAAGAGAGATTGAAAATTATGAAAGTAACTGTGATAATTTTTGTTTTAATTGGTGGGGTATTGATGGGAGCTTGATTTTATTTTTTGCTTTGTTCAAGGTGAAATCTTAAAAATTTTATATTAAAATAATTTAAAATTTTTGTATCATCTTGCTAATAACCAAAGTTTAAAAATTTCGAATTTGGTAATCTATAATTAGCTAATGTAATTTATAATGGCATTGAAGTAATGATTAAGAGCTCAATTTTGACTCTCAAGATAATTTGCATTTTAATCACATACTCATTCTTCTTTCAAGGATTGATTTAGAAGTAATGTTGGGAAGAAAAAGAAGTTTCTATTAAAATTATTGAAATCATAGAGATGATAATGAGTCGAATTAAGATGAATTTTTACTTATTTTAAATTGATTTAATTTTATATATTTAATATTTAAATTTAATTGACACTTATATATATATATAAAGAAAATCATAATTGATTCAATTCGAATTAAAATTAATAAAATATTATTTTTTAATATAATTATAATATTAATTAAATAATAAAAAAATATTTTATATATACCAAGTCTAAGGCAAGATTGTCTCAACCCGATCCGACTTTTTTAACCCTAAATTCAATTCCAATCAAAAACTCGATTTAAAAATAAAAAAGTATATTCCATAAGGTTGGATTAGATTAGAACTCAATGAATTCGAGTTGGATTGACAATCCTAAATGGAACTTGAAATTGTGTGCTTCTTTGTTTAAAATATAACATAATGATATGATACAATAAATAATACAAAAAAATAAATGTGATATAGTTTAAAATTTTGATAAAATTATATATGAGTTTAATAAAATTTAAAAAAATATATTTCATATTTTTATATTAACATGAATCGTAATATATAATTTTCATATAAAATATGATATAAATATATAAATCATTAATATTTTATACAATATAAATACATAAATTATAAAAGCTATCAATTGACGGTAAAAAAAATTCAAGATGATAGAATCGGACAACGCAAAGTTCTAAAAAAAAAAACCAAAACCTTTAGAAAACCCTCTCCCATGCTGAAGAAAATTCCCAAATATGGTATGCATAAAGTTTCTCTCAAGAAATTAAAGACTACCAATGGTCTTTCCGAGCAACCATAAAACAAGAGATAGCTCAATGCCGAAAATGGTGTGAAGAGTACTCCTATCTAGAGTGAAGCCATAGATTGTAATCCCAGCTCGATTTTTCTCAAAATATGTTACTGTCATCAACAAAAAGAATCATCAATGGAATCAAGACATTAACTAAAACAACAAATAAACAGACATTAATTACCTAAAGCTTGTCTCTTTTGGAATGAGATGGTACTATAAGCATAAGCTGGGATCAGCTTGTTGTTGTCTATGTCATCTTCTTCATCACCAGCGTCCTCACCGTCAGATTCCCCATCTGTACCCATATGAGGAAAGGATTGATGGCCATGGATGGCCGGAGTCCTTGGCGTCTCACCATCATTTGCATCAAATGAATCTAATGTTGCACAAACATGCCACTTTGCAGCAAGGCATGTGACAGATTGCGCTTTATGCGTTATCTTTGTCGCACTTCGTAATAATATACAAAGCCCTGTGACAAGAGTTATAGAGCACATCTGCAGCCAAAAAACACAAATCAACACTTTAATGGATGGAAAATTTCAAAGTTTGGAACAGATTAATGTGACACTTACAGCAAGTTCTCCAGCTTTATAAATATTCAAATCAGAATTAGCCTTTGTAGTGACAAGCAATGAAGTGAATTGGCTGCCTGTGACCAAGATCAGGCACCATAATATAAAAGCTCGATATCTATGGCTGATGATCCTCAAGTGCCTCCTGATCCTCAGGTGTTCAGACAAGACAGAACCAACATCATAATCAACTTGGAAAACCTTAGCAAAGTCCTGGAGTCGGAGAACCTGGAGGTTGCAGATTAGGCGGAAGAGAACACAAACGAGGAAGAAGACTGTTGTGCGATAGAGCCATGACCACAACTCCATGATGCAGGCTACTGTGTCACTCAGCCAGACAATGCCTAAGAAAGGAATTTGGGAAGCACCTGAGGCATACCACCATACTTTGTATGCAGTCTCAGCTATGAAACATGGCAGAACGAAAATTGATACAATCTTCAGTGATCTCTGTATAAGTTTAAACGGTAAAATAAATCACATTAACATATAAATTCAAACATGTTCTAGCTTTTGCAATGCAGCTTAAAAGCTCTATCTTCACATGTTTCAATGAAGAGAATGAATGCTAAAATAAAAACATTGATGTTTATGCAGATGGAACTGAAAGAAGATACTAGTAATTATCAGACATTTGCTATTATATATGATCATCCTAAACTTCTCCGAACCTCGTATTGAACTCCGAACTTACCTGATGTCAGTTTTAAAGATGATTATATGAACCGACAAACTAAACTCCGGCTTTAATTAGTCCTAGTTGTTTTTGGAGCATTCTTTTACAAAAGTTCCAGAAATCTCTACGCAATTATTGGGTTATTTGGCAATCAAAACATCTAGAAAATGGTAAATTGTCATTTCCCGGTAAAGGAATTACATTTTTATTGATTTTTTTTGTTTATTTTATGAGGCTAGGAAGCAATGAGAGAAGCCTGTTTGAGGTATTTGTGGCTGATCAAGTCAGAACCAGCATGATCATCTGTGTCATTTCAGTTAATTATGGATCTTTGGTTTTGATCATTTCATACAGAAACTCTAAATCGTCTTCCCTATCAATAATTAAAGATTCGGAGAAGAAGAATGATAAATAACTAATGCAATAAACTTTCAAAACCCAGAAAAGTACAATCAGACAAAAACAGAAATTCATTCAAATCCCATTGAAACCTGAAAGTAAGGAATACCCATAAAAGCAGAAATAGATACAGATGAAGAAAAAAAACTTACATTGAGCTGACCAGTGTGTCCTTTCCGAACAGTCTCACTTTCATCACAAAGCTTATCAAAAAACAAGAACCTCCTCAAACCATACTTTTTCACAAACCTCGTCAAACAAACAAAAGACATAGCTGCAACACTGCTCAAAGACAGCTGAACTACCCAATCATAAGGCCTTGCATGTCTAGCATCACAAGTGGAACAAGCTAAGAAACAATGAGACACAGCTGGAACAACAAGTCCCAAAAAAATGAACAAAAACCAAGATAGACAAGCCCTCCAAATATTGGATTGGTCAACACACATCCATCTTAGGTATGTTCTAAAGCTTCGTAACTCGTCTTGTGCATGAGAAATGGATCTTGTGAACTTAGTTCGATCCACCAAAGGTTCCCTGCTGTCTCCCATGAAAGGTTGTTTAATTGTAAAAAGCAAGGGAGAAGCTGAAGGTTTGGGGGTTTGAATGACGAAACTAATAGAAAGCTTTTATAAAGTGTTGTTGGCGTTAGGAGTGAATGGTAGTGTGGTCCAATGAGAGGAGAACAGGTGTTGGAATATGGAAGAGAAAAGAAGGAAAAATCAATATGAAAGTTGATATCGTTTGTTCTGGTTTTGACTTTGCAATCATTTACAAGAGTGACTTCTACATGTTATCTGTCTGAATCCGATGTTGGCTTTTGGTTCTCAGATCAAGTGGCCATAATTTTGTAGAATCATGAATGTTAAGCTTGTAGTTTACAGGTAAAAAGCCTGGTTTTGATCACAAAAAATGATGATTTCGATCTATTGATTTCAATTTAAGAGTTGAGAAAGTGTTTCTTTTTTAATGCACTTTGTCTTTTTGTTGGATTCTTGAATTCTTCCCTTTCTTTATTGAAGAAAAACAACACTCGAGCAAGGTTCCGTGTGAGGCAAATTACTTACCATAGATACTGATAGAGTATAATACAGGTAGTGGAGGGACCAGGCTACCATCACAATGCAACGTGTAATACCAGGCCGCCATTCACGCAAATCTCCAACTTGACGTTGACACATGGCAATTGGAATAATGTCACATTAATCCATGTCTAATTATGCAATGAATCTATAATTTTCTATGTGTTAAATTACTAAGACTTGAGCTATACTTGTCCATTGTTCATTGCAGAATTTGCTCTTAAGCAGTTGATTAACATTTGAATAGTTTAAAGGGAGGATAAAGTTGGCAAAGCAATCAATTTGAAGCTGTTTTTTTCCTTTGTCAAATGAAGATGGTTTGAGGTGGCTCCTTTGATAATATGTGTGATGGTGATTGGTTAGGGGCCTGGGATTTGCTTGGCTTTTAGCTGTTTCACTGGAAAGATGGGAACCTGTTAAAGTTTCATGATGAAATCTGAGGGGTTTGACTGGCAACTGTCTTTCAGCATCTACAATTTGACTTGCAGAAAACCAGCCAAGGTATTGATTCACTTTAGAAAATGGGTATGGAAGTTTATTCTAACACCCCAGGATTTTATGAAGATGACAATTAGGACGACTTCCAAAAGTGAAAAGTTTCAAGTTACTAAAGTATATAGGTGAGAAAAAAATCGAAAAAATAGAAAATCAATTTGAAATTATAATTTTAGTTCAATTTGAATCGATTTTTTTTATTTAATTCGGATTAAGTTGAGATATTAAATATATATATTAAATTTAAATTAAATTTTTGATCGAAATGTGAAAAATCAAAAAACTTGAATCAAATCGAATTATATATTTTTATTAATTTTTATATATTTTTAAAATTTTTATAAAATAAAAATAATTATTTTATATATAAATTTATTTAAATATATTAAAAATCTTATTAAAATAGTATATAAAAATTTAAATAAATAAATTTAAAAAACGATAAATCAAATTGAATTGATAAAATTCAATTCAAATCAGATCAATTTCAAAACAAAATTTGATTCAAATTTCAATCAAATTTAAAATTTAATAATATTATACATTATTTAAAAAAATTAAATTAAATCCTATTCGATTCAATCCGAACCATTATCACTCATAAAAATCAAACCAAATCATGTATAATTGTTTTGAGATTATCAATGAAAAACGATAAGCAACCACTTCCGGTCTTTTATAATTGAATCACATTCTAATGCACTTTTGATTTGATAAAAACACTGATCCTGAAGAACCCTTATTTCCTCTAGGCTAGAAGATGTAAAAGAACAGGAATCTGAGATCAAAGCTCACATAATTAATGGGAAATCTCAACAGTGAAAATCCTCCATTAAATTAGGAAACTGTATTAGATCCTTGCAAAATAAGCCCATAGCTAAACTTTTCAGCTAAACCAAACCCAACCAGGTTTTAGGTCATGGGATAGGAGTCCAGTATTACCCTTTAGGCAGAGCCACACACTGTTTGTGTGGCTCAATTCAGAAACCAAACCTGGAATTTCATATTCAATACCAAATTCAACAACAGTTCTTTGCTTTTTCAATGTGCATGAAAATTTAGTAAAAATTAGATCTCGTAATTTGTGTTATCGTATTAAATATTATATTTATATCATATTTTATATAAAAATTAAATATTATATTTCACGTCAATACAAAAATATAATTTTTTTAATTTTATTAAATTTATTTATAATTTTTTAAAATTATAAGTCATATTTTACGTTTCAAATTCACAAATCTAATAAAAACTTCAAATATATGTGCATTTCTGATACATCCCATTTCCTATAATTCCAAAGCAGGCTGCAGGCATTGGAGGAAAGAACATTGACTGAAAGATTGATACTCTACTTGACTTCACATTCCAATGACAGACTTCCAATTGTCACACACCATTGACATCTTAGATTATCAGCACAACCATGAGGAACTTTGAGCTAATCAAAGGGAAAGGGAGCTAAAAAATGAAAATTTTATGCAACTTCCCAAGGGCTTGAAACCTTCTTCAATGGGAAGCACATTTGTAGATCAGAATATCCGATGGTATATCCTCCCTGATAAATTTTATCATTTTATCGTATAAAATATTATATTTATATCGTATTTTACATATAAATTATATTTTATAATTTATATCAATACAAAAATATAAAATATTTTTTAAATTTTATAAAATTTTAAATTATATTATTTTTATATCGTTTATTCATATTATTTTATATCATATTATTAAATCGTATTTTAAATTAACAGATCAGGTGAATAAAATAAAAATCTATGTTAAGCATCACTCATGCCTGTTCATTTTTTTTTTAACAAAGAATCAAAACAGATCAGCTTGCTAGGTGGCAGCAGCTGCAAAGGTATCATTGGTCCCCATTCTCCAACGTGAGCTCAAGATATTGATTCAAGATTTCAATGGTTTTTTTTTTTTTATCAGCAAGTCTTTGTTTAATTTTCTATGCTTTTCATTTTGATAAGATGAAAATGTTAGATTAATGAACTTTTGGTTCATATCCATAACCCCAAAAACATAAAATCAAAAATAGAAAGAGAAAGAGAAAGAAAGAGTCAAGTGCATGAACCACCCAAGAAAGGTCAAATTGCAACTGCAAAAATGAAAGTCATGTGGGATATATTGCATTTGTGAAGTCTCCTTGAATCATCTCAATTCTGAATAAGTCATTATCAGTCAAACCCAGAAGAAAAAAACTTGAGAAAAAGTCACAACGCACGGCTCACCACAGTGCAATTGGAAAATTCATGAAGTTAGATCGGATTTCAGGGTGCCTTCCAATTTAACCAAAGATTAATGAACAATCACTAATTATTGTGTAAATAATATATTAATAGTTATAATTACTCAAATTTGATTCATATAAAAATTAAATTCAATTCGATTATTATCAAATTGAATTCGAATAATTTTATTTATCGATTAAGATGAATTTAGATATTTTTATATTCGATTAGAATAATTTATAAATTTAATTAAATTTTTATATTTTAATATATTTTTATTTTTTTAATTAATAAAATATTTTAAATTTAAATTCGAATTAAAATAAAAATACTTAAATTTTTATTAAATATAATATTTAATTTATTTTTATACGTTAATAAAATAAATTCAAACAACTTAATTTTTATTTTCAATAGAATAAATTCGAATAATTTAATTTTTATTTTAAATCAAACTTAAACTGAAAAAACATTCAATCAAATTTACGTCAAATTTTAAATTATAAATTATAAATTAAGTTTAAACTTAAACTTAATATTAAGTCACCTTAAACTTTATCAATTACACCACTTGGAAGAACATTCACCGATGAACAATTAATTAAGTGATGAAACCAGAGTCCTTAATTCAATAAATTCAGTGATACTTAAACTGAATCTAATATTAAACAATCAAGGATCATTCAATGATAATTTCTTTTTTCCTTTTTTTTTTTTTCGATTATGAAATAAAAAATATTTCTGCAAACTTTTCTTTCTTTTCCACACCTTAGGCTACCACACTAATTCCATATTAAGCAAAAAATAACAAATAATATGAAAATTAAGGAGTGAAATCGCAAACATGAAAAGAGAGACAAAGAAATTGGCAGGAAATGGGGATTTTGAATTTTTTTTTTTTTTTTAAAGCACTGAATTAGATTAGGTTTACATTTTAAACTAAGAAAGATCTGTAACATAATAAAAAGCTGAATAAACCCAGATCTGATATAACATCACAAACCCTAAATCATCATCACCATCATCATTTGATTAAAATCGAAGGGATCATATTGCATACTCATAGGATTAAGACCATTTCATCTTAATCATGTCTCATATTTTTCCATATTTTTCTTTTTTTTTTCTGCTTCCGCTTAAAAAAAGGCAAAAAATATATAAAAAAAGAGAAAAATATTCAATGATTGATCATCATTATCATTCATCACCATCAGCATCTTTGATCAAAGACATAACTGGAGATCATCAACTTCATCCAACGGTGGATAATTGAGATCAAAGGGCAACATTTTCCGACACGAAGAAGACGCGATATCCCCATCATCAACAACCGACGATGACGAATCACAGTCACTATGGCAATCCTCTGGCATCACCGGCGGCGTCCTCGGATGGTACTTCCTCGTCGAAACCACCGCAAGATCCGCCGATTTTTGCAGTGGTTGGGCTGGTCTCGGCCCACTAAACGACTCCACCGTGCTACTCATGCTACTCCTCGTGGGTCTTTGCGGGTTCACTTCCGGGTCTTGAAAATCGCCCATCGGATATAACCGGTGGCGGTCGATGAAGCCTTCGTTGTTGTGATGTTGATGCGTTTCGAAAGGAAAAGCTGGGATATTGGAGGAATGTATAGGAAAATTTGTTTTCGCTTTGGATCCACGGAGGGACCTCGCCGCCGCATCGTAGGCTCGAGCTGCTTCTTCGGCTGAGTCAAAGGTTCCTAGCCAAACCCGGGTCTTTTTCCATGGGTCTCTGATCTCGGCTGCGAATTTTCCCCAAGGTCTTTTTCTAACCCCTCTGTATCTTGGTTCTTTCACAGATCTGTTGGATTCTAGTACCGGTTTCACAGCTACGGCTGTTGCTGCAGCGGCGGCGGCGGCACCTCTCCCTCTCCTCATCAGAAAACAATTTAAACTTTAGATTCACTCAATTCTCTCAAAAGGGTTGGGTAAAATCAGATGAATAACTTCAAAGATTGAAAGAATAACAATAATTATTATAACAATACAAAGGGGATGATGATAAGATTAAAGATAAAAATAAAATAAAATAAAAAACTGAACAAATCAACCCACCCAAAACTAATCTATTTATGAAATTGACAAAAAAAAAAAAAAACAAAGGGCTGAAGAAGAAGGGGAAATCAAAGAAGAAAACAAGGGAAAGGAAAGGGAAACAGATAAGAACGACGATGGAAATGGGGGAGGAAGAGGAGGAAGAAGATAGGTTGGATGGGACTAGATGGCACCAGGAGAGAGGGCACCTTCTCTTCTACACAAAAATGAAAATAAATTTTTTATTTTTATTTTTTTTTTCTCTGGCTGAAATGGCTTTTCCTTCGTTTTCTCAATTTCTCTACCTTCTCTTGCCCCCACATGCCGACTCGGCTCCCGATTGATTTTTTTTTTTGTTTTAGTGTTTTAAATTTATTTTGTTGTTAATTATTAACAATAAATTTTTTGCATAAAAATAAAATCTCGATTGACAGAAAAAAAAATTTTATCAATTAAATTTAGATATGATAATTTATATATTTATATTATATAAAATATTAATAATTTATATATTTATATTATATTTTATATAAAAATTACGTATTATAATTTATATGATATAAAAATATAATTTTTTTATTTTATTAAATTTATTTATAATTTTTTATTAAAATTTTAAATTATATTATTTTTATATTTTTTATTTATATTATTTTCATATAATATCATTATTTAATGTTTAGAATTATCGTATCTAATTAACATAACCCACATAATTGGGTTCTTTTCTTGTTTTTGATTTTGTAATTTTAACAAACTTGCAAAGTTTTAGTTTGATTTTTCTATTAATTATTATGGAATTAAAAAGACAAAAGTTGAGTTTCCTACGTCCAAATGATACAATAATTAAGATTTATAAAAAAAAAAAAATTGAGTGGTAGTTTTTCAATTTTAATTAAATTTAAAGGGATTTAAAGCAAATTTCAAAGAATATTAAGGATCTAATAATAAGGATTTGGGCCAAGCCAGCAATATGACATAATTATGAATGACAAACATAAGTTCACTTTCTAATTTGTGTAGACGACGGGCTGAAGAATCATTTTTCGCCTTTTTTTTTTTTTTTCGACCTTTTTCTTTTTTATGATTGATTCTTCTTTAAGCCTTAAGGGAATTTTGATTTTCTTCATTAATAATTTCTTTACACTCTAGGATCCCCCCTCTTCTCCTATTCTAAATTTCCAAATGGCAATTAAATTTTTAGAAATATTAAAATAATTATCAATTTTATTATATAAATCCAAGAAAAATAAAAAATTTATATAAAAAATATCATAAATTAAAAATAAAATAAAAAATTACACGTACTAACATTTAAATATTAAATTTATTAAATTTTATTTTTTAAAAATAATCAATAAATCGATTAAATTAAATTCGATGTAAAAAATTGATAATTGGTAATTAGAGGTTTACTTATTGCACCCAAAATGCATAAGCAAAAGCTTTTTGAGTTTTGACCAACTTTTTTTTTTATCTTTGATGGTAGAGTAGTAGCATTTTCTTTTGCGAAGGGGGGGGGGGGGGGCATTTGTTTGATGCTTATCATTCTTTTCTTTGAATTTAGAGAAGGTTTGATCTTATCTTTGCAAAGTTTTGGCAAATTTTGACAAGAAATGTAAATGCAATTGCTAAATTCTTCCTATTTTATTAACCTTGCTTCTATTTTACTCCAAAATTACACATACATAACATCTCTTAAAATGGGATTTTTTTTATTTACATTTTTAAAAGCCATTTTACATATTATTAAAAGGTATTGGATTCTATATTATTTTAAAAATTTTCAAATTTGTTGTAATAATAAAATTTACTTTTATTTGCTATTGCTTCAACCTTTAAGACAATTGTACATCATAATATGGATTTTTCATATTTAAATAACAGGATGTAAGATACATTACTTTATCAATTATGTATAAAATATAGGGATTCATCACACTCATATAATATCTAATATCACTGTTATTATTATTTTTAATTTTATAAAAACCGTTATTACTTATCATTTAAATGAACCATCGATCCAAATAAATTTATTCCGATAATTATTAGTCAATTCCTACCATATAACCTACTCAAAGTTGTCCTAATGTTACACATTTTTGCTTCTCTAAGCAAGCTACCACAAATTAGTCTTGAAAATTAGGTGTTAAGATTGTGCAAAAGTTTTAGAAGTGAAAATCAGAATAGTAATGTATCATTGTTTGCTTCTTCTAAATGGAGAGGAGATAAAAGGAAAAAAACAAAGTGGCATCTAGCTACCACAACACTATACATGACCTAAATTAAAAGTCAACATCCAATAGTGACATTGATATTGGACCTTCCAAGCTCTCACAACAATTTTTTTTTTTTTGGTCATGATCAATTGGCTATAATAAGATTTAATTTCAAGCATTATATCACACTTTACTTATGCTACTTGAGATCGATTGATAATTTAATTTTTATTTATATTTGTTTAAAACTATCAAAAATTATATTTTATGTCAACAAATGACGTGATTGATGACTATTCAAATATAATTAATGTATTACGATGAGTAAATTTTTTATGAAAATTAAAAAAATATATTTAAGATGCAAATTCCTATTATAATGAAGAATATTACTTAGCTCAATGGGTCAAAAAACAAAATACATTTCTTATTGTAAAATTCATTTAAGAAAAGGAAAATTTTTGTGGGAACTCAACATGGAGTAGGTTGAAATTTGTGACCAATAATGTGAATATGCTCTTCCTTATCCAACACAAAGAAATATTCTAATGCATTGAAAGCAAATATTTTAAACTTAGCAATAATAAATTAATACTAATACATACAAACCATATTATAAGTGTAGATAATTACAAATTAGAGGTCTTATTCATTATAAAAAAAGTGGTTTTAAATTTAAAACTTTATTCAAATGATTCATTTATTTTTTAAAAAGATAAATGTTTACAAATTAAATTTCAATATTTAGCATTTATAAATTTTAATTTTTCAATAACTTATCTCGCACATAAAAGGGAAAATAAGTTTAAGATTATATTGAAACACCCATTTATTCACAATCACATTAAAATTAAAATCAATAAATATTAAAAAAACATATGATTGTTTTTAACAAAAAAAAAAAGAAAAGAAAAGTAAACACTTTTTTTTAGCCAAAAGATATATATCCCTATTTGACAATTAGTCAATGGTAGTGGGTATTTAAAGGGAGTTGTTTATCAAACCTACTATGTTATTTCCTTTTCTACTATTTCTTTTTCTTGAAATAGTGATGATTATATGATTTAAGATATAGTGCTTTTTTTTTGTCCAATGTAACAAGCAAAAAATTGGGTAGAAGAAAAGAGAAGATTGATCACGAACTTACCCCTTTCTATTTCGAATAGTATATTTGATCATTCAATCAAATGCATGTGATAAGTAAAAGTGTGATTGTTTATAGAAAAACACATAAATTATTTAAAACATAATAAAGTTGAAAATATATATATTTGTTTATAAATGAGTATATGGTTTAGGTACGTAACAAGATATTGTAGGGAAGGGTGATAAAAGTTTGAATTGAATTAAATTCGATTTGATTTAATTTTTTTAGATGATGTATAAAATTATAAATTTTTTAAATATGTTTTAAATTTGAATTAAATTTTCAAACAATCCATCTAATATAAATCAAATTTCATCGATTCAATTTGATTTATTAGTTTTAAATTTAAAATTTTTAATATATTATTTTAATATAATTTTTAATATATTTAAATAAATTTAGGTATAAATAATTATTTTTATTTTATAAAATTTTTAAAAATATATAAACTAGTAAAAATATATAATTTAATTTGGTTTTAGTTTTTAAAAAGTTTTTCACTTTTCGATTCGAAATTCGATTAAAACTTAATATACATATATTTAATATCGAATTTAATTTCAACCAAATAAAAAAAATCAATCCAAACAAAATTAAACAATATAGTTTCTAACCAGTTTTTTATTTTTTCAAAATTTTCTTATACTTAATTGTAAATGTTGATATTTAAAATTTAAATATATTGATATTATGTATTGAATATAATTAAATAAATCAACTAAATTAATAATCGAGTTGAAAAATATTATCCTTTTACACAAATAAATTATTAAAAAAAGAATTCTTTCTATATTAACTTGTTTTTATGATTTTAATTATTAAAGCCAGACACCTTTTTACTTTAAAATGTTAAACTTTAATTTTGAAATGAAAAAAGTTATCGTAATGCAATTCAAATCTAATAAACTTTCAAATTTAACAAAAAGTGTCATTTACAAGGTTTTATTTATTGCTTCAACGCTAAGTGTATATTTATTTTATTTCTTTTATCTCATAGTGGAATTAGAAATATTATACTATTTAAATAAATAAATAAATAATAAAGGAGATAAGCTAGGCCACGTTAAACGGGCCCCACTATTGGCCAGATAGATCTATCACTAAAACGTGGCTGTGGCACCCATTCAGTTCGCCACGTCAGCTGACTGTAATGTTCGCATATTAAAAGTCGTGTACTCAAAAGGAAAATTCAAAAAGAAAAGAAAAATAAGAGAAAATTCTTTTTTTTTTACATAAACTACAATTTAAATTTTAACCCTTTGTGAGTTTATATTTTTACAATAACACCCCATTGTTTTCATTTTTTACACATTAATCTTTTGAAAGTTTTAATATTTTATCATAAGGGTTAATGATGTTAACCTTTTAATAAAAATATAAAATTTCACGTAAATATTTTTCTTATATCATATTTTTTATGAAAGGTAAAATAATAATAATAATAACTCTTTTTAAAGTATAGGAACATTTTTGTTCATTTATTAAAAAGAAAAACACTATGACAACGACAATAAACCAAAATCACATGATTTTATTTTATATAACATTTTTCAAAAAGTTCACATGAATATTTTGTTATATCATGCTAAGCACCTTTTATTGTTTTTTTTTTTCAATTTGGTAATGACATTATGATAATAAATTGAAATCACATGATTTTGATTACATAAACTTAATTTCGATTGTAAAGGATGATAAAGATTTGAGTTGAAATATACTTCTTTCGTCTCATTATATTTGTCTTTTATTATCTTTTTGAATAAAATAAACTCATTATTATTATTATTATTAATAAAATCATAAAATTAAAAAATTTTAAAAATAAGATTTATAAAGTTTGAATTTCAAAATTTTTAAAATATATTTTTTAAAATTTTAATTCAATATAATGTTTTTTAAAAAACAATACTAACCAAAAATAAGTTTAATTGAAAAATATAATAATTTAATTTAAATAATCTTTTAAGGTTATAAGAGATTGCCATGA